CGAGACAACCAAACAGAAGGAGATGCTGGAGTTTGCGTTGAACTACCTACAGACAGACGATGAGGTACGTTTCTATTGATGTACGATACAGATATGCAGCATGGTGGTACTGTGTACACAGCAACCATGCTTAAAGTCCAACTGAAATCACATTTAGTTATTTTTTTGCAATCAAACACATTGGCAATTAGTTTTTTTACTATTACAAGGAAAATGAATGGTCTTTGGGGAAATACCAGAAATGCTCCTTTTCATCTCAGCAGCTGGAACAGTGAGCTGGGCTGCAGTTTTTTTTGTTTTTGTTTTGGAAGGTTTAAACTGAGTGAAATGAACTGGAAATATCTGAGGAGCAGCCATGATAAGATCTGGTACAGTTCTCTGAATGATAAGAAAAGGAGCTTCAGTGCTTCCTATCTTATCTCCTTTAGCATAGGAAACACTGGACCTTCCTTTACGATAGGAAAAGAGAAAATGCCGTCCCACAATTCCTTGCTGCTACATTTAAAGCGACGCACATATTGTAGTTTCAGTCTAATTGTTGGTTTATTGGCTCTACTTCCTCCACTTGTGTATTCCTTTCATGTTATCTTATTTCAACCTCTCAATCCCGTTAACTTTCTTTTTATGGTTAGGAGAGGAGAGTTAAGAGAGTTTTTATCGTCCATGTGTAATAAATAAAGTTAGTTTAAAAAAAAAAAAAAGCGTGTAGAGAGAGTGTAAATGCAGTTGGATTCTCTCTGCATCACGGTTGTCTTTTCCTAAATTCTTATAATTCTCCTTCACATCTTGACCTCATGACGTTTTCAGTCGAGGAAAAGTGGTTAAGAAAGGAGATTATTTAGACTTTTCCACCGCAGCCTTGTTGTCTGTGTTTGATTGACAGCAGCTGGTATTTGATTGGCTGTATGGGAACAAGGTCTAATCCTGTTGGAGGACTAACTGTGTTCTGAGGAAGTAATGCAAAAAATATCTATAGATTTATCTATATATCTATAATTATATATATATCTTCTGTTTGTTGACTGAATTTTTTCTCAAAGGAGATGTAATTTACAGAGCAGATTTGAATGCTGTAGCATTTTTAGGGAGCTTATGTCACTTTTTTTTAAACTGCAGCCACAAGTGACAATTATGGAATAATGTTAAAACTTAAAACTTATAGCAACAGTGGCATGAGTAGGGAATAATCCTGAAGTCAGTGTTCGGACTCAGTAATGTCTGCTGTGCATATATCTACCTAAAGTCTGTTAGCAACTGAAAGCTACTGGTCACACCAGACTAAATCTGGCTGTAGCTGCAAAAGCGTTGAGTGCATTGGAACTGAGCAAGGATGTGTTTTATAGTTTATGAATTCAACTTTTTATTTGCAATAGGAAGAATATGTTCAAAAGTTATATAGTCTTGCTTTAAGAGATTATAACTTTATTATTGCTATAATCTGCTGGTTAGAAAAATAACAAATTCTAGACAGATTAAAAACCCAGTTTGCCTAAATTACAAAGGTGCGTTAGTTGTTTACTTCAAGTGGTATCTAGCTGTGCTGATTTTATCTGATGAGGTTTACAGATATCCATCTCTGAGATTTTTTTTTAACCGCACAAACAAAATTCCATCAACCTCCATTGTGCCGGGGTGGCGGCAGAGGTTTCAGAGACAGACATCTGAAAACCTCAGCAGATAAAACCCAAACTGTCTGCATGACTAGACAACAACCCTTGACACTTTAACTCGACTCAACAACAACTGAATTGGCTATTGAAGCTGGAGTTTATGGCCTTGTTTTTCAAAGGAGAAATTTCACATTCTTTATTTTAAGTTTATCAAAGTATCCTAAAGGTCTTTGGGGATATGCATTTTTACCTTGGAGGAGCAGACTAAAAGCAAGCTGCTGTTCAGATTATGGGAAGGAGAAGTACACAAGAAAAAAGTCTCCGAGGATGAAAGGGAGAGAAAAAGAGGGTGAGGAAGAGAAAGCAGGGGGGGGGGCTGTGTTTTCCGCCAGCAGTGTGTGGTATGTGGCTGGGAGGTGTTGGCCACTGAGGCTGTGCCACATCTATTTAACTCAGGTCAGCCCCTCCCAGCTGCGCACACTGCCTGGACCTGAGAGGGGGGTTGGTGGAGGGCTGAATAACAGGGAGCACAAGTGACAGATTTATCGGCACAAGCCGGAAAAATAATCAGTTTTGCCATGAAAGTGGAAGTAAGATAATAAAATGGTTGCTTGCCTAACAGTGTTTTGTTTAACTCTCAGGACGTGGTAAGTCCAGAAGAAACGGTGGCCTCTCACTCGGAGAACCCTGACGCTGAGTTTGAGGGGATGGGAGACTATGAGGAGTCATTCCTGGCCGAGTGGTGGCAGGAACCCAAAACTAAGTGGGACACCGGAGAGGTCGCAGACTGACCTCTGACCTCGTCCATGAACAGAATGCTTCCTCATCCAGCTCCGTCCCACCTGTCATGACAACATACCAAAGAATGTCGGCCTCCCTACAGACGGACTGACACTCCCATCAGTATTTAACAGAAAAAGCTCAACTCGCACACGACTCGTCTCCTCCGCCCAGCTGAAGAATAAAAGGATGAATTCCTCCATCATGTTGATCAAGATCAGAGATTGACATATTCTGTCTTGGCTGTCATCAGCCTTTTAAATCTGTTATTTTTTAAAATGAGTCACTGGCCTGTATGTCAACACTTGTCAATGACTTTTCTACAGTTTTTATTTACAGTTTTTATTTAATGAAAGCTGAGTGCCTCTGTGCCGTGGTATAAGGAATCTGACATGTAGCTTTTCTTATGAAAATGACCAATTGGGTTTTTGTTATTATAATTTGGTCATAATTAAAATGATATTTTAATATACTTATTTTGTTTTTGTCATTCAATATCAATTAGATAAGATCAGTAAGATGCAAAAACACAATTTGATTGAAGTATCTTGAAATGATCAGATAGTTAATTTTGGTAACAATAATTTATTATGGATAAAATGCCAAAAGTTACAGGTTCCAGCTTCTCCACTGTGAGCATTTGCTTCTTTTTTCTGTTTTACCTCATAAATTAAATACTTCCAGGTTTTATAGTGATGGTCCAATGATGATTTCCTGATGATTTCCACTGTAATTTAATTGCAATTGCTACTTTGCCAACATTAGCATTAACAGCTGTTTATTTACCAGAGCTTCAATACGAGAGGTTATAATATGCCCACAGCGACGGTTAGCATGCTAACTTCAGTGGCAGTAAAGAAGTGATAGAAACAGAAGCAAAACAAAGAGTTAACACTGGTGTTGCTTTTCCACCTCTGGAGACAGCTCTTGGTGAGCAAAGGAATGGAGTATAATACTGAACTTGCAACGTTTCTTGTAGACTGGTAAGTTTGTATTAGCTCTTAATGCTAATATTGGTTATGTAGCAATAGCAAAACTTACACATAGCTACTTTAACATAAAGGTGATTATGTTTATAATGATTATGTTTAAAAATGTTTTTCAGAAGCACAAAACCAAAGTATAAAACTCCCAAGTCCAACCATCTATCAAAACCATATAAAAACAAATACCAACACTAAAAGGCAGGGAGATGTGACCATAGGAGGTGTGGTTTAATGTTTTAGTATTTTATTTACCTTCATCTCAATCCATCTACAAGTCTTAGTTCATTTCTTTATTTTTGTCTCAATTCAAAAAGATAGTGTCTAAAAATACGGGGTAAAACGCATCTCATTTCCTCTTTTTTTTCCCCCTCTCAACTTCAAACTGATCAAACAGATTGTGTTTGATACCAACTCTGTACATATTGTAATAACAATAGTGCATCTGCCATAGTGCAAAGCTCGAACAAACCAAACTGACCTCACACACTCACACAGTGTCAGACAAGCTGCCTCCTGGAACCCACTCTAGATCTCTTTAATCTCATTTACAGCGGGGATCGTTACAGAGTCTCTGGGCTGTGGCGTTCGCCCAGAACTCGGGGGGGGGGGGCTATCAACAAATGTACAAAAGATTCATGACATTTTAGAGATAGCTGGAATGATAAGAGAGATGGCGAGGCAGCTATAGCTCAGCTGCGACGCCACATTTAAAGATGCATGGACGGCGCTGACTACAGGAGAGATTTGCAGATGCAGGTCGTGTCAAGAGACTGATAGGTATATGTCTTGCTGAAACAGATAAAACTCACTCAATTTAACATAGCTTTAAATAAATCTTCATACAGTGCATTTAACATTCAGTATATCTTGCACATATTTACAAATAGGTGTGCAATACAGTTGGCTAGTGCTCATTTTCTGTAGATACATGACATAAAAACAGTTGAATTCTTTATTAATGTGCTGCCTTTATGGTGCCATGGCTGCAGCGCACAACAGTTTGTAGAAACAAATGATCTTCTAGAGGTAAAAACCTGCCTATCTACCTGTGATAGGAGGAGTGTTAAGGTGTACACGGACACAACTGCCCCTAACACTAATGTAAACACGCGTACATTCTTCCTTTCTTTAAAAATCTCTCACATCCGCACATTCACTCATGCACACAGACACGCACATTAAACCTAATGGTACAAACTTTGGGCCTAAAAGTGGTGAGCACGCACACAGACGAATATCGTGGAATGTATGTTGGTCGGCCTGTGGTAGGAAACACTAAGTTGCGGTCTCTGCTGCTTCAATGTTCAGTGTTCAAAAATGATCCCAAAACCATAACACCTAGCTTCCCTTTTTGTACCTGAAAACTCGTGGGGGTGGGGGGGGGGGGGCAGGTTAAGCACAAATAACAATGAACAGAAAAGTCATCGTCTTATATGATAATTACTCTTTCCTCAGTCTCTCTTTGGAAAACATGCTAACAACAGTCCACTGTGGGGTTTCTTCTCGGTTATGTCCATGTTGTCAAACTTTGCAGATTAAAACTGATCACTGTCTTCCGTGAGACGCACCTTGTCAAGGCCTGGCCTTGGAGGGTCTGAGCCTCAGGTCCTTCTCCTTTAAGAAAAAAGGAAACTATTCAACTCCTGTGACATGTTTCAGGCTGTTAGATGTCCAGTCTGTGCTCTTGTCCTGCACTTAGCAGGGACTCAAGTGGTGGCCAGGTAAGAGTGTGTGCAGGCAGGCATTGGAAATACAAGTCTCATATTAAATTGGTCCAACGTTGATATGTTCTTTATCAGACTGTCCGAGATGTGAGGAAAGTAGGTACACAGACACCGAAGCACATTCTGAGAGCCACTGGACTGGAGGAAGACCCCGGTGTCTCCCGCAGGGAGAGCCACCTGCTCGCTTTAGGTATTGGCCCCGGACACAATCGTCAGTGGCCGGCTGGCAGCGGCCACACGAGTATGATTTGGCTGGTGAGAGGTGAGAGGAGCTCCACAGGCCCACAGGAGGGCAGAGCCCGGCAGGAGGATAGACAACAAGGAGTAGACGGGGGGAGTGTAGAAGACACAATTATCAGAAGAGGTTTGGAGAGATTTTGCGACAGGAGTGGAAGACTTTTTTTTTTTTTTTTTTGTTCCCCTCTTCTCTGACGTGGAAATGACACAGTGGGAGGAGGAAGACGAGAACAGACAGGACATAGAGACAGAAACACAGACAGACGTCTTATCCGCCACCAGATCTGAAAGAAGTGAAAAAACAGAGAGGTCGTTAACAGGAGGAAAAACAGATACAGGCAGTTGCACAGATGACAGAGGATGAAGATGCTTGAAAAATGGATGAAGACATTCTGCTATAAACGATAAAGGAAGGATTTTTATGGGATTGCAGACAAGAATGGGGATTTTTTTTAAGCAAGAATTGATAAAAAGTGATGCATTCAAGCATTTAGAGTCTAAAAGGGATGATCAGATGGTGGATGAATGAGTAAGTAGCCAAGCTGGGTGGGTGGGGGGGTGTTTTGCTCCGTGGACAGGACTTCACAAGTTTCAAGGTTATACCTTCCTCTTCGAATGTTCCTGCATCCCATGAGCACACACCGAGAGAAAAGACAAAATGTCAATACATGTCAATGACAATAGCAAAAATGACTAACGCTACTAATTGTTTTAGAGGCATGTTATAAAGCTGATCATTTAACATTAGATCTTCACATTAACATTTACATCATTCACATTAACAGTACAGCTGTGCAAGAAAAAGATAAATCATTCTACGGTTATAATTAATCAAAACATACACAGGATTTAATATGAAATGTGGACAGAAAACATGAATCAATGTTTGACTCATTTTCTTCCATGTTGGACTGGCTACTGTATCATAATTCAGATTTTAGAGGAAAAACATGAATCAAACAATGACTCAGTCAGTCATTTAATCCATTATTCATCTACCAGTCCTTTCCAAAATCTTTCTTGCCAGACTATAGTGATGGAACCACATGCAGCAGGTCTACAGTGCTCATGGCACTGACCCTCTGAGTCCCATAGAGCCTGACAGGGCGTTACACCAGACACCATCACACCCTCCCTCTACGCCAGAGGTCTGACTAGGAAGAGATGACTTCCTGCGAACAGCTCATGCACACATGCACAGACACTTAACCTCTGACCCTAAAAGGACTGACGACATGGTATAAGTCTTTAAAATGTAGCTTTTCAGTTAACCAGGCTTTTCATCAGCCACAAACGTCTAACGAATCTCAGTGAGAGTGAGGTGGGAGCAGTCCTTTTAGGGCAGAATATAAGGAGTGGACAATAGCCAGCATACACAGGAGCAGCAGTGCAGAAGATGCACTGCAGCGAGGGCATTTAGGGGATGCTGCCTACAGGAGAAAATAAGGAACTAAAATAAAATAGCACCATAGGTAAAACATAAAAAAGTGAATCCACTGTAGCCATTGAGCTTTTCATTACTACACAGAGACTGATGGCTGGGGAAACTGCAATCGGGGGGAACTTCCAGATGTGGCACCAGTGGAGTTAAGTCACAGCAGCTCTAGTGGTCATGAGAGAAGTGCTGCGATGGATCCTGGCAGAAAAAAACATCTCGGTCCTGCCCTGTCCATGCTACAGAAGGCTGGGCTCGTAAGGGGAGGGGTGGGGGGAGGAAAAGTGCAGGATGGAGCTCAGAGTTGATAACAGATCTGATCAGAGTAAATAAAACAATTTCATACGGAGTTCAACGCCAAAAGCAGTTCAAGCATTAGCACGTCTCAGACTTGGCTCCCCAGCTCCCCTCCCTGGGTCGGGAGTCGACTTGCAAACGGGCATGTTATTTTAGAGGGGTGAGCGTGGGAGGGGCAGGGGGGGTCCTTTAGGTAGAAGCAGACAGGTACACAAAGGCATGCCAGAACTCTTACTTAAATCCCCATCCTGTTCCCCCTAGGACTATAGCTGCCAGGAGAATAGCACCTGCGATGGACCCTATTATGATATTGGTGCCACTGGGACCTGCGCAGAGGAAGGAGGGGGGAGGAGGAAGGGTGCGGAGGAGGAGGTGGGGGAGGAAGAGGAGGGGCAGAAACAAAACAACACCACTAAAAAACACACGTCAGAGGACAGCATCAACACGGTACATCAACAACATCAACTAGAGAGAGAGAGAGAGAGAGAGAGGGAGAGAGAGAGAGGGAGAGAGAGATACCTGCTGACAGAGAAATGAGGGGGAAGAGGAGGAAACCAGCACGTGGGGTGGAGGTGGGAGAACGGGCGGGTGAGCGAGGGAGGTCAGGGAAGACAACAGTTACAAAAGAAAAATGAAGGAGAGAGTATTTTATTACTTTGTTCTCATTCCCCCTCTCCTGCTCTTTCAGCTGGACACCCTCTTGCTCAGGGTGGCTTTGGCTTTTTTGGCCCTATGAGAGCAGCTGCTCAATATCTCTGTGTCATTGGCAGACTGGAAGAAAGTAAGGAAGACACTTGAAGATGGCGGTGCCTGCAAGACATACATACATCACCACCATACACACGTACACCGACATACTGTGCATGCACATATGCTCTGATGGAAAAACGTGTCTCCACACACACCCACACTCTCACACACCAACACTGAAACCAAGACGCAGCAGGAAGGAAAACACTGTGGCCTAAATATTGATGTTAACGTTCTCACAGTGATCAGGTGAGCTGTTCTTAGTGTTTGAGGAAATGATATGGTGATGGAGAAGCTACAGTGATGATGGGGGGAGACTATGAGGGGGGTATGAGAAGCGGACAGAAAAGAGAGACATGGGTAGTTTCAGATGGACCTTTCTTCTCGGGGCCCGTTGGGACTGTAGGCTCAGGGATGGGATCAAAGACGCTGCAGTCCTTCCCTGTGTAGTCCCTGTCGCAGATACACTTCACCTCGTTACTGCAGGTCTGTGAGAGAGAGAGAGAGAGAGAGAGGGAGAGGGAGATGAAAATCAAGCACAATGCCTACAAACAGACAAAGTCCAGCACACAGATAAGTTAAAAACAGCTATGTAGCCAGTTAGCATGGATTTGGTGGTTTGCAAGTTGAAAGACATCTCTGCACGGTGTTAGGGGTGTAATGGTACATGGATTTGTGCCGTGCCGATCGGTACAGGATGTCCGGTTCAGTTCGTGGTGTGATCCAAATGAATATAATCTAGCTTTAACCATGCACATTACGTGCATAACCTTTTTGTTCTGATGGTTAGGCTACCGACATGTTAGTGAATAAGATCAAAGCAGTAGGGTGCATGTCATAAAGGGTTAGTCCTAACTGCAGAAACCTGGGTTTAGATCTGACCCGTGGCTTTAAATGCTGTTAAAATAACAGCTACATGTAACCTAGACATATTTTAGCCTGAAAATGCTGAAGAAGAACAAATCTTTAAAAGCAATGATTATATTTAAATGTGAAGCAGGTCCTAAATACATGTTAGATTACAGGAACTAAAATGCTTTTGAAACAATGGTAATCATTGCATCCTGGGAAGGTTCACAATTTTCTTTTTTTTTTTTTTTTTTTTTTTTTTACGCCGCCGTGGGTTCGGAACAGATGCGCCCAAAGTTGGATCCTGCACAGGTGCTGAGGTTGAACGCCGCCACAGGGAGGCAACGTCGCTCCAAACACATCATGTTGGGGCCACAGGGAGCGCCATCCTCCACATAGCCCAGATCAGAGCCATCCTCCAGCAGAGCATGGCCACCTCTGAGTGAAGCATCCAGACGGGTGGGAGAAGAGGTGTAAAGCTAGCTAACACGCTTAGGGACACAGATTTTAAATTTTTTGGATTAGATGGATGTGACACTTACCTGCAGTCCAGGTATTTGTTTTGATGGTAGAGAGTGAAGCTGGTCACCTCGCCCTGCAGGTCTCCGAACTTTGGCTTTGTTGTCACGTTGGCACAGAACAAGAAGCCGCATAAAACATCACTGAAACAGAAAGAAGTAAATGACAGAGGACAATGCACATCAAACTTGGGCTGTGTTCACAGTAGTTTTTTTTGTTTTCAAAAGTTGATCTGGGACATTTTTTTGGTCATCTAGGTTTCCAACTACATGTTAGAATCCAGTGGCAACCTCTCAGGCTGAAAAATTAAGCCAACACCAAAGTATCAAAAACAGACGCTTGAGGCCGACTCCAAAAGTGAGTCAATCCCCATAAACTCATGTTAAAATGTGAAATAAATATGTCTTGGTCTCTAAAGCTAATTTCCTTCTTCATGAAAACTGTACGGAGGGTGAACTTTTGTGAGTGTATGCTTACCACAAGCCAGCATTTTTGGATTAACTGAGTGTTAGGGGTGGAGTCAGGCGCTGCCAAATTGGTGTTGGCGGAGCAGCTGACTCTGAGCTTCAAAACCTCTCTTCAGAAACCTATTTGTGACAGAGGCTACTTCCATCTTTATATACAATCTGTGAAAACAACCAAATCCCCATACTCAAATACATTGGTTTTGGTCTTTTCATTGGATTTGGTGAAAATTATTAACTGAAGCCAGTCTTCTCCCCTCTGGAGACTTCAGGCTCAAACTATAGCAGTGCACCCTCCGCTTAAAATGCAGCTGAGCCACCACTTCTTTTGCACAATAAAGTGAGCAGACTCTCACTCTTCTACAAGAACAGCAGTAAAGGGAATCAGGGATGAGTTACTCACGGCTTGTTGCACTGCAGCCAGCCCTGGCCTTCAGGACCTGGACCACAGTTGCCTTTTTCTGTCCCCTCAGCATTCAGCTTCTCGTAACAAAACCTGTCTGCTGAATCTGGCCGGGCAAACAAACATGTTTAGATTACAGCAAGGAGAGTGAGACGACGGCCAAACATGGGTACACACTGTACATGGATACATAATAAGCTATAAAACATGCATATTTGATGGCTGTGCTGTACATGTGTTCTATACTTACTATAGCCCCAAAGTCCCCTACACTGTCCGTCACGTGTCCTGCATCGTCCACCGTAACATCGGCCCTGAAGAGATAAAACAACAGTAGTGTGTGTCAGAGTGAGCCGCAGACTACAGAAACGTGCCACAACCCGGCCCTTACCTGACTGGTATCACACATGTAGCCATCCAGCTTGTGGACATTATGAGGGCACTGCAAAAGAAGAGAAGTACATCATGAACTGGATACTCCGGTCGATCTTACAGTTTTTGCCCAGTGTCGCATCCACTCAGCTCTACCTGGCTGGAGTCTCCGGTGCAGGTCTCCGGGATATCACAGTCGTTCACAGCGTCTCGACACACCACGCCCCTCCGCTCATACTAGGACACAGCATCAAAAGGCATCAGGTACATCCAGTACTTTATTTGTGATCATACAGGTGATTTCTAATGCATGTCAATGCACCACAATATGCAATATGCAGAGATAAGACATGACTTTTCCTATTCCTGTTTAAAGCACCAGACATGCTGAGGTTTGTTCCATGCAGAAATAACTGTCATAAATACAAATATTATTTCCAGTTATTTCTTTTCTAGTTTTCTTTTTGAGAATTCACAGTGGAGCAGATGTTTTGGCTCAAGAGTCTTTCACTTTTTTTTCTACATGTAAAGAGAATTTGTATTTCATTCAGTTCATTTCTTTGCATCCATTTTTTGCTTCTCTGTAATAAAGGTTACCTCACCTTGCAGCCACTGCAGCAGAGTCCATTACTGCACATGGCATCATGGGTAAGTGTGCACTTTTTACAGCAGGCTCCTCCATTGCGGGCACACTCCTGCAGGCACACACATGAAAAGAAGCCATCAGTTCTGTTTCAGAAAAAAACACCACACCCTCCAGTGCTCTCACAGAGACAGGACGTGGCAGCGCTGCCCATCTGCAGCAGGTTTAAGAGCTGGCTTTCACGCTGCCATGTCCAACTGGCTACTCACCACCTGGGATCCACAATCACACTCCTCCCCTGGCTCCACGAAGCCATTCCCACACTCTGGAGGATCCAACAGCTGAGAGAAACCAAGAGGGAGATGTATGAGCACATACTGTATATATGTAGGAGACAGATGGACGAGACATGAGTCCATGTGTTGGTAATATAGAGATGAGATGAGAGGCACGTCGCTTAAAGCAGGAAAAAAAAAAAAGAAACTTCAGTACTGTATGTGAATGTGTGTTCTGATGGAAACGAGGATAATTCGTTAGTCTATAAATAATGACACTCAGAGGCGGCTCCTGTCACCACATCCTACATCCCCACATGGCCCTCACCTTGTTGGGCTTGTTGAAGAGGCAGCTCCCGCCCCCCTGGAGTAAGAACTGGATGTACTCGTCAACACTGCAGCGAGAAAACTTTCTGGGCAGATAGTATCTGTGTTCACACACACACACACACACACACACACAAAGATCGAGACCACGACATGACAAGAAAATCAAATAACAAACAGCATAATGCATTTCTACCAGTGAAGAATGCCAGATCCACTGTGGGTGTCTGTGCCATCACTTTGCAATCTGACAGAAATGTTACCATCTGTAGTAAGATATTGCTCAAATGAATAATTGAAATCTTTATTGTTCCATCTGGTGGGGAGAGCCAAATCCAAATCGCTCATATAGTAAATACTTTTAATTCACCATTTGTGATTCTTTTACAGAGAGCTGCATGCTGATGTCTGATGTTTCTACAAATTTGCTTAATGCATCAGATACAAGCTGTGATCATCACTGGCTTTGGTGCACTGAAGTAAAAGTCAAAGCCTGTTACAGGTGTTTAATTTGTCTAATTGAGTGAAATGAATGGAACAAATCGCAGGTTGGAGGGAGCGCAACAAGGAAACACTCCTGCTGTCATGTCAACAAAGAGAGAGAGAGAGAGAGAGAGAGAGAGAGAGAGAGAGAGTGTTTTACAGGTGTTACAAGTGTGTTATGGTTTTTTTTTTGTCAGTGGATCTTTACCCCGTGTCTTCCATGATGCAGCCCAGCCAGGTGTCTGGGCACCTGCAGTCTCCTGTGAGGACGAGCAGAAGGAAGGAGGACGCAGAGGAGAGTGGGAGAAAAGTGATGTAAGTAAACCGGGGGGGGAATATAACTGGCTTCACATGCTGCAGCACGTCTTGAGAAACAGCTCTACGTATGACAAAGAAGAAAGGCTTCCCATAGACCCGATACCTCTCCTCGTGACAGCGGTATGTATTGTGTGCACTGAGCTCTTGTCCAGGCATTGAATAATGGACCTGATGGCTCTTCAACATTAATCACACGGCCCATTGTTCAGTGGCAGCGATGCTCTAACCACCAACCCCTCCTTCTTGGATGCAGGTGACTAATCACCTAATGGAGAAGTCTAATTACAGAAGAGAACTGCTGGACGGGGATACCAATGCAGAGCCAACGATCTCAGCCAACACCCCCCACCACACACACACACACACTCCCATCACACCCAGCTATCAATCCCTCTGCCTGCTTTGCTGATTTATTCAGCTGGTTTATAGATCTCTCTCCATCCTTCTAACCTGCATTATAAAGCTTTCCGCTTGTCTTTTACCTGCAGAGTTACGGGCGTTGTTCCACCTCATCCCGATGTTCTGTCCAAGACTCTGGCACAAAGTGATGGCCATTGCACCGACATTCCCGTACTGAAATGAATACATATTGAATCCATACATGAGAGCTTTATTGGGGGATGGGAGGAACACTAATGTATAATCCTCTGGGAAACAGTCTGTCCAAATGAAACAAAATCTACCTAACAGCAGCTTTAAAGTTCACTAATTAATGTATCATATCTCATTTTTTTCATTTGTGCAAAAACAGAAGTTTAAAAATGACAGTCTGCTGTTTTACCAGGGTTATATGCAGGACTCTTCCTTGCTAGGACTAGTAAAATACTGAGCCAGCTCTGAGATGGAGCCAGTGATCCATAAGTCCTCTCAAAACCTAGATTAAACTTGGCTCTGTTACTCCAGACCTTTACACTTCCATTTTAAGTCTGATCTCAACTTTAAAAGGACAGTTGAAGTCGTTTCACTGATTTTCCATTTTGGTTCAAGTTATTAAACTTAGTTTTACTGATGAATGGTTTCATTCAAATTGTGAAAGAAATGTGAGATTAAATTAAAAATCATTTCAAACTATGTTTGGCTAAATCTTGATTAACCCTGACTTTTGTTTAAATGAATCCCTGCTGATGCCACAGTGAATGGGAGCTTTTCAGACTGTCCTCACCTCGTTGATTCCTCCTCCCCTGGTTAGAGAGCACACTCCTCCTGTGTAGGCCGTCCCACTGCGGCTGCTGTGAAAATTACGCCCTCTGAGGTGCACAGGGAAAAAAATAAAGACATTATATAAATTAAAACCTAAACTAGCATCCAAACATCAAGCTTTACTTCTGTGGAAATTTTTCTCTTGCAAGTTGTCTTACGAGAAAAGATGGACGACATCACTCTGCTCTTTGATGTTGTCTTTCCTGTATTTCATGAAGTTCTGCAGCGTTATCAATGGGTCTTCAACTACTGGCATCATATTTTTAGGGCCCCAGGTCTCCATGGCAACCAGCACGATCCTCGTGTTCAGCTGCTCCTTGTAGATCTGGGGACCAAAAATGCCCATCAGTCTACTGCTTTGTTGGCCTGGCACCTGTGCTGCGAGCCGAGCACTGAACACGGAGAGCTGAGCGCTATCAGGGATAAATTATTTCCAAATGTGGAAATGAGCACGCACACACACATGCACACATACACACACACACACACACACACACACACACGCTTTCTAGACAGGTGGCGGCGTGTGTATGCAGAGTTTAGCAGTAGGAGGATTATAATCCTACAAACAAAGCTCTTACCGCATCTGCCATGTTGACCACTGCTTTGGCAAAGTTCTTGGTTTGGCTAGTTGAGCGACGCAGCTGTACAAACTGTGGAGAGACACAGATGGCATAAAGGATGGATCACATTCACACACACACACACACACACAAATACAGTATGTATATAAACACACATTTGAATTTCTATACTTGTAAGGACCCTCATCATTATAAGGCTTCATTGATTTTATTTCCATGTATTACTCACATCAACAGCCCACAAAGGCAACGTTCTTCATAATAGTGTTACATAACAGACATCTAAACACTGTGCTGTATGTACTGATCTCATACATCCCCTTCCTCTGATAAAAAGTCAGACAAGTCTGTTCACTCAACTTAAAGTCGTAAAACAGCAGAGACTGTTTTTTTTACAGCAACTAATTTCATTTCTTTCTGAGGGTATAATCCATTATTAATATAATAATATACAATATAATAATAATAATTGTTATTATAAAAAATTATTTAAAAAATTAATTTCCTGCTCTACCAGGTGAGCCACCCGGGTGCCTGAGTCTGTCTTGGGGTGTAACATACAATAAACCAATCAGAGTGCCATCTCCCATTCCAAGCCAGACGTGCTTGCACCTTGGTGGACTGCTATTATAATGGCACAGTGTTTCACACAGAGATAGATTCTATTTGTGGTCAGTTGATCACATATTGTGACTGACCAGTGAGCCCAGTCCTGACACACGTATGTAGACGCATATTACTGTCTTGACAATGCGCCCTAAAAATAACAGTGAAACACTGACACTGACTTACAACCAGGTTTTCGTTGGTCAATCACGCAATTACTCTCAGCTGCTTCATGAAAGCAATGTGGCAACAATGCGCCTGACCACACCTCTCTTTAAGACCAACACGGCCATGGGCGCAAGTTTATTTGCTATTTAAACGGTGCGGGCACTGGATGGGAAAATCACAACTGGACACTTTGCACTTTGCGCCGGGTGTAAGATGAGGCCCATAATGTTCATGTGTGCAAAGCTTTGTAGTAAAATTCTGAACCTATGACAGCTAAAGCTTTTCACTGTGGTTCCCACCCGTTAGAGAAGAACCAGGTAAATACACTCATCCCCGAGCTGGACTGGTGTATGGTTACCCACACAAACCTTGCTGGCAGCTCAGCCTCTCTGACCTCTAATTTCTCTGCAGTAACCGGCAGCCAAATATACATTTAACTCACCATTTCATTGTCGTTGACCACCATCAACTCAATGTATTTGGTCTCAGTCTGGACAGAGGGCTTGCGCACAAATCTCTTGGAGCGCTTCAGCCCCCCGGACACCTGCTGCTCCCTCGTTTGGTCTGGCCTGGCGCCATCGCCGTCACCTCCCGTGCTATCCCACTCACTGTCCTCTGTACAGTCTGCACACACAGAGAAGCAAAGCTGCAGGCAGTTAGGGCAATAATACAGTTACAGAGCAACAAATTAAAATCTCAATTTCAGTCAAAACACCTGTAACTGTAATTAACCCTGTTTGAACTGACTAAAAATTACATCCCATTTAATTATCACATTTGTTTTGTGCTGTCTCACTAGTTTGAGCAATTCCTATCTTTTTGATTTCACTTTTTGAGCATGAGAGAAAGGCCACAGTTGCTGTTTGGAGGTTTACTGGGCAGTAGTATAAGCAGTACCCATGGAATATTAAGTAACATTCACTTTAAAACGACAATGGACAGGTGTAATTACTCGAACTGAAGGAAAGGTGGTTTTAAGATGAGCAGATAAGAAAAGACAATATTATTCTGATGTGACATGGGTGTCAGTGGTAACTAGCAACTAGGAACTCATGTACCTGCGCAGAGGGGGGACAGTCTGATATCAGGCATCCTGCGGATTAAGTGAGCGCCATCACCCTTTAACAGAATAAATCCAAATGACATTAGACACATTAGGACCTAAAAATGACAAAATCAGACTCCAGAATTAAATTCTCTACTGTGCTGATCAACAACACTACAGCTGTGATCCAGGGATTATTCACCTGATTGGTCCCATTGTGCACCGGCTCGATCCCGTAAGAGAAGAAGCCATCAGAGAACATCCCGCTGAGGAGCAACATGAGAGAGACAGTGAGATTCAGAGCAGGGTTTAGAGACATGATTATGTATGTAGAAAAATTAAGCGGGCCATCTTTGATGTTACTAATAAAGGTTTAGAACCAGGCTCACCACAGGCCGTGGCAGGTGGAGACAGCTGCCCAGGACTCTGGTAAACCTCTTAACCTTCCCTGGTAGTAGCAGTGCTCCCCTCCCTGTGAACACAACACACCCCTGTTTCATCAAACAGCCACTACTGACTCACTTCAGGCCTCACAGGCACAGGCTTTTACACTTCAACACATATCATGATAGGTCAGCTCTGAGGAAAAAACCTCTCACAACCTCTGCATATGTGGCTCCCGTCTCCCTCTTACCCCGCTTTGGCGTTTATGGAACCGTTTGTGACCTACTTGTGTCCTGTGCTTCTACTACACTCTATTCTCCTCCACTGGCAACAGCGGTGGAGGTAGACCCAGCACAAGGATCTCTTCAATAAATCAACACTCGTGTGGCCCACACAGTCAGATCTGAGGATTTAACATGGAGTAATGCAGCAGGCGAGCTGCAACTGAGAGACACGAGATGAAAGGGAAAAAGGAGAAATCTGCTCTGTTCTTTTTTGTCCTTTTAACAACCTTGACTGCCGCAGCACAGCCCTGGCTGTCATCTCCTGCGAGCAACCCCCCACCAAAAATGGGGGCGCGCTGCTTCACGAGGTCACGGCGGTGAAGATGAACCACCAGGAGAGGTGAGAAAAGTGAGGAACACTTGTTCACCTGGATCAAATTGAGTTCAGCGGGGTGTCTCGGCCTCGCAACAACATCTGAGGCAAACAACGCCTTCATGTTCTGAACAAAAATAAATAATAATAAAGGGTTTTGACGACAGAGATCAGGCTGGTGATGCGCTGCCCTGAATGCATCACGCCTGCCGTGTCCAGCAGCAGCAGCAGCAGCAGCAGCAGCGGCGGCAGCGGCCACAGCAGAGGCGTCACGTGAGGCCTCCATCCAGCTGAGCGACAATCTGGCCTGACTACAGGTCACTGTCACCGGCTCTGCAAGCACTCTGGGAACAAACCCATTGTCTTTGAACACACATAGACCCTGAAATGACTCCTTCCTCATTTCAAACCTCATCTTGCCTTTGTATTAACTGGCATTTTACTCCTTATTTTCCCTCCTCCTCCTCCTCCTCTCTCACTCTCTCTGTCTTCGAGTCTTCTTTCATTCTCTTCGCTGCCAAGAACTTAATGACACCGCTGAGCTAACTGGTTGCTATGGAAACAGGCTTGTGATTGGTCAGGAGGGCTGAGGGAGAGTTTGGAACGATTGTGGGTGGGGACACGGAGTGCTGCTTGGGTGAGGTGGGTAGCTGTTAGGGGGGTGGGGGGGGTGGGGGGGGGGGGATCAGTGACGTTTGAACAGGAAAAAAAAAAAAACAAAACAAAAAAACAAAACATTAGCCATCCCTCCTGGCTAGCAGACTGCAGTGACATTCCTCTGGTCTGTCCTGACAAGCGCACGTCACATTAGATGTAAAGGCTTTCATCCATGTCCCCATTATCTCCTGACGATTCTCGCTCTGAGCTCGCGCTTTTACACCGCAGCCTTTTTCTTTGGCTGCCTGAGAGAGGCCACAGCAGAGAGGCGTGCGCACATGACGCTAACAGGCAAACAGATGTATGTGTGTGTACAGGACTGTAACATACATAATCCTAATGGTCACATGGCAGCGTGCTTTTGAAGCAGAAAGCACACAATACCGCTTCCGCAAATAGATAGAACCAGGAGGAGGAGATCAAACTGTAGGAACTCCAGCATCACAATTACATAAAAGAATCAGCCCGAGAGGATAAAAACAAACAAAAAGCATGTCTTTTGTTTCTAAAATGAGATCTTAAAATATACATGAGACATAGGATTTATGTTACATAATGAGCTCTACACCATGTGAGGCATCGTATCTGACAAAAGTTTAAATTACTTCTGAGATCCACAGGCGACAGCACCGGTGCAGTGTCAGTTTCTACAGCCACAGAACCGAATGCCGCACTGCAACTCCGGTCATCTCATTAATATGCTGCTTTCTAAGTGTCGAAAAACAAGTTCACTCTCTAAAACCCTCTCAGCACACATCCTCACCCCCATGCAAAAACAAACCAAAAGAAAGTCTTACCACAGACTGCGAGGGTCTGCCATCCTGGTTAAAGTGCCGCTCCACATATTCTGAAGACAGGAGGTGGCTGCAAATAGAGGGAGAGACACTATGAATATCTCTAACAGCGTCATTACTATCACCATGTAATCAAAAGTGGTTTCATCAGGGATATTTTCCACCACTTGCTGTCCACTCCAAATGCATTACACAAAGAATAAGTGAACATATTAACATGTGGTGTTAATAAATATCAGTGGAAACTCATAAACATCCAGCTGTGTGTGTCAATGTGTGCGCTACTCCCCATCTTGTCATGTAACATAATAGAGGCACTAAGTGCATTTGCTTAAGTGCAGGGAAATGCTAATGAGAACAGCTGCAGTAAATTAAGAGCACCCACTAATACTACCGTGTACAATAAAAATAAATAAATAGGATATCTAATGATTTTGGACGGTGATACAAACTGGTTCAGCTCCAGGTCCAGAGTGAAGGTGTGTCCAAAGGCTTCCACTTGGAAACAGCTCTGAGCCAAGTGGACAGGCTGAAAGAAAAAACAGAGAGACAGATTTGACAGCTCATATATTAAAGTGTAACAAAACAATGGTGGTTAAGTGTGTTGCTTCGAAAAAGCCTCATGAATAATTCAGCAGAATCAATAGTGTGTACTCTGTAAAAGCATCTGAGCATCTGAAATAATATGATTGATAAAGTCCTCATTGATGGACATTGGCTGCCAGCGTTCAGGCAGGCATGGCTGCAGAGAGCTACTGCTGTGTGAGAGCTAGGCTGGGGTTTTGTGATGGAGATGGATGGAGAGGGGCTTGACAGAAGGAGGGGAAGAGGAGGAGGAGAAAACTTTTACTGATATCGTCTATGTTCAGCCGAGCTGCGCCAATGTCCCCACTGGACAGCAGCCAGAGCTGGAGAGGTGAGGAGACAGCAGGGCCAGGACAAAAAGAGAGAGAGAGAGAGAGAGAGAGAGAGAGAGAGAGAGAGAATGATATTGACTGCAGACTAAACAGTGCGTGTCTTCAGCAGCTCTGACTGTGCCAGCGTGGCTTTGATCTCAGTCTGGAGGAACCAGGCTGCAGTGAATCACTGGGCTTTTACTGACAACAGATTTCTTACTACTGTCTCGGAGAGGCTCGAGCATGATGTCCACAAGTGTCTCTGTCTCTGCTCAGTGGCCGTTTCACTGCTTTACTTTGACTGTATTCGTGTACTGATGTTTACCGTTCTCACGGCGTTTTCACTTCAAGGTCCGCTCAGTGCACGTCTGTTCTTGTGCTTTCAATCATATTGCATGATCTTCCTCAGCAGATGGAGTTTGCCTTGTTGAAGTTGAAGATTCATAATTAAACTTTTGCGCCCAGTTTAAGGAGCGTCTCATCCAAATTGGCTTAAAACTCGAGACTGAAAGTTCGTACTTGACAACGGTCTCTGATGCTGATACTTTTCTTCTGAACTGATCCAAGCTGCTACTGATCTTTATAAGCCATAATGGTTATTAAAATGCAAATTACTGAATATCTAATTTAAAAATTCAATATACATTTTTCATGTTTGCTATGGCGGATTTCATTGTCTTTAACAACAGGCTGCTGGATTTGACTGAGATCTGGTCTCACAATAATTTCTGTATCTCATTTATCTCATGTGACATGCATAATAATAATAATCACACAAATCCATTCTCTCTAAACTCTCAAGCTATGAAATTTAATGACTTAGTATATTATAAAATTATGCAAATAATGTTCAGAGCTAAATCAAAGTCATTCACAGACGGTGTACTACAGAGCAAATATGACTTGAGAGATGTTTGGAAGTTTACGGTACAAAAAGCTAAAAAAGGGATTGAAAGCTGATGTCTTTCTATAGTTGGGGTCAAATTATGGAACAATGTTAATTTGAATTCAAAAATGTGTAATTTGCTTTCGGTTTTCAAAAGGATGATCTGTAAAACTATTTTTGAGGGTTATAAATGTGAGTGATTCCCTTTCTCAATTTATGGAACAATACTAGTTTGAATTTTAAAAAAATGTGTAATATCCTTTTGGTTCTTAAAACAGTGGTTTATACAGATACTGGTGGGTAGCTTAATCAATAAGAATGTCGTCAGGCATATATAAGCATTTTGCTTTGGCCTGAGCCTGTTCAGTCACTACTTAATACATCGACAGTTGACTGTTTTAAGTTTTGTTTTTTTCTGTCTATATTGTTTATATTTACTGTATCATGTGTGATGACTGAATAAAAAACTACTACTACTACTAACCAGTATCATCAATAACAGGCAGTAGAAGTACATACACCTACCAACTAATAAAGATTATATCCTGGAAACGTATACACCCCTCAGCTTGCAGACAACTGTGATCAAGTCGAACAGTTAAAAAGTCTGCTCTTCATGCAAAAACATAAACAACATTTCAAAGAGGACACAACAGGTAATTGTAAAACCACCGAAAACAGTAAAGCAAAACCGCCGCCTCATCTATTTCCCGCTCAGCATGAAGTGACAGAAAAGAAAGAAAAAGTTCAGCTCATCTCCTGCTGCTTAATTTATCTTGCCCCTCATTCTAAGCATCTTCAATATTTTAAAAACAAAACACAGCAGGTCTAGACGAGTGCAGCAGCTGACACAGGGACTTCTGCAGACTTGTACAGTGTCATCGTTTGTATTTCATCCATCACTGTTGCTGTTCTTAAATGATATAGCATCAGCCTTGTTTAAGAATGCTTCTCCTCCTGGGACAACAACATTCATCTTCACTATAAGTCTTCAAACTAAGTGTGTGTAAGGAGTCTAATGTATTCTCTCATAGCAGCTATATGAACTACATCATATCAGCAGAGAGAGAGAGAGAGAGAGAGAGAGAGAGAGGGTATGGGGAAGAGCTCAAGCCTCTTGGACCATGCAGCACTTCTCACACAGGCCTGCTTCATAATTAATTGGGACATACTTCAACACACCACTGAATAATGAAGAAGTCAGGGGCTCAGCACGGCAGCCGGATGATCAGACGTGATGGCTGAATATTTCAGGATGGGCTAAGCTTTGTCATCGTGGAGATGGCGGCCACTACAAAACAAACATTTAAGCGGCTCTTTGATCAACTGTGCATTAACTACGCTCGCTCAGCACACAAAGCAGGTCCAAGAGGGTTTGGGTTTCAGAACTTGTTGCTAGATGTTACAACTGGAACCACAACCAGATCTCAGCCGAGAATAAATGGCTGCGAAGCAACAACTTGTCTGTCCTGGTTTCATCCGGCTGACACGACTTCACTGTGGACATTCAAAGGCATTTTCAGAGACTAACTAGGTCAAAATCACGAGGAGCGAAAAAGACTGCTGCAAGACACCACCCTGCACTGTCATCCCTGTGTAGCAGGAGCCGCATGAGCAGCAGAGAGCTGAGCGCTGCACTGGAAAAATGAGGTTCGCATCAACAGGATAACAGTCTGTCTTGGTACTGTCACACCCCTATATGTGTATGTATATGTACGCACAGACCTGCTACAGTTTCACCGACAGTTGATCTTCCTTGGTAAGGATGCATGTTGAGACCGGTGTTGAATTCATTTACATGGACATAAAGCTGCAGACCCCCATTTTATATGGTTTTGGTCCAAGACAAAATGTACCTACACCTAATGTATCTCTTCGTCAGATGAGGTAATAATGAATTTTCTGATTAAAAAAGCTATTCTCGTACATTGTCCAACTGGGATACTTTCTTTTTAATCAAATCATAGTGAGATTAATCTATTTCTCATTTTGTTAAGAGATTCCTGAAACCTTGTCAAGGACCCCTGGGTGTCCCTGACCCCCATATTAAGACCACTGGGTGGAGAATCCACAGAGAACAGAGTGGTTCAGTGTGAAAATAAACACAGTTGGAGAAGTGAGAGAGAAACAGGAGCATATTACATCCAGACTCACAACTTACCAACGTGTCCCCAGTGCTGTTCTTCACCCTGGTATCCAAGTGGTCGTGAGCCATTTCCTCCTCCGACTTGATCTGCTGCACCAGCCGCTTCGGATAGGTGACCTCGGCCGTAGTGTCACCGCTGTCCCGCCACCCGGCCGGGGTAAACCAGTCCCACATGTCTCCATCCTGCACCGGGCTCCTGTCCTCACCTGCATACAGTACAAGGAGAACACTCAACACAGGCTTGTGGGCGTACAGAGGGCTTGGCAAGGTGGCGACACACCTGAGCCTGCCTCCATTTAACCTGCTAGTGTTTTAGTAAGGAAAGTGAATTGTAGAAACCAATTTAAAAGTGATGCATTTTAAAGAAGCCACACTGTGGAGGCATTCATACCACTGGTCTTTCTTTATGATGATGGTTTGGTGACCTAATTTATCACACTGACCAAGTGAAGATGTTTTTTTAAGTCACTGCTGTATTTAAAGGAATTTAGTGGATATAATTAGGTTTTTATATTTTGGATGAAAATAATTAATGTACTTACCATATTTCCAATAGGCTCTATAGTTGACATACAGTATGCCCATACAGACATATATACTCTGGGCCTATATATCTTTAAATCTCAGGAATCATCAATCAGGCTGCAAAACATATTGTTTTGGTGATTGACAAGTTCTATCATAGTGCTTTTAGATGTTTATTGGATAAAACAGGCTTGTAAATGGTTATGGGTACGTTGGATATAGGCAATGGGGCTGCGTTGGAAATGTGTTGATGCAGCAAATCTACCGCATCGGAGAGGGTTTTCAGGCCAGTAGGCTGCTTGGCACCGAGATCCCGCTACAATAAAATCACAGGCTGCGCCGGGGTCAGAAAAGTGCTGGTGCAAGGGGAAAAAATTGTGGATGCAAAGGAAATGAAAAGGGTGCTCCCGCTCTTTATCCGAACCCCCTCTCTCCCTCTACTCTCTCTCTCTCTTACCTGAGACTGCAAGCCTCTCGCCCACTGCCGCAAAGACCATGAAGCACCACACCGCCAGCATGATCTTCACATATTCCCCCGGATTACAACATCGAGAGAGCCGCAAAAAATATCACGAACCCGGCCGATGGAGGGGAAGAAAAAAGACCAAAAAGACAGAGCAGAGCACGGCAGAAATGATGGCGAGGATCCAAAGTGAATCTGCTAAACATCTGATGATGCGCGTCCTCTCATCTCTCCCCCTCTCTATGCCGCTCTCTCTCTCTCCCTCTCTCTCTGTCTCTCTCTCTCTCTCTCTCTCTCTCTCTCGCCCTCTCAGCTCCAGACAACACCGCTACGGAGAATTTGGATTTGCATATCAGAATAATGAAAAATGAATCATTGCCTAGGCCTGGGGCGGAGATGATCGATACAGGCCTATCGATTGATCAGTGAGGAAATAGGGAGAGTGCGCGCCACGGATGCATAGCTCCGCAAGGCTGCGCGGGCGCGTATGGGTGTATGGATTAGCTTGTGTGTGTGTGTGTGTGTGTGTGTGTGTGTGTGTGTGTGTGTGTGTGTGTGTGTGTGTGTGTGAGTGTGTGTGTGTGAGTGTGTGTGTAAGCGAATCTGCGGTATGCGGCGGAAACGAAGGGAAGGAGAAAGCGAAGAGAAAAGCGTTGGGTCTGCGGTGAGGAGGACACGTGGGATCGTGGTACCCTCCCTCATCCTGAGCAGCCTCCTCCTCCCGTTGCCATGCAGCTCGGCGAAGGGAGAGGATGCGACAGCCCGGCTGCTGAGGTGCACGGCCGAAGAAAAGTCATGAAGGGGGGTGGGGGTGGGTTAGGGATTCACGGTCCATTCATTTTTTCAATACAGCGGTACGAATGGTGCAGTACCTTGGTGTTCCGTCACATGAACATCACAGGTCTGCAGAGGATGAAGGTGTGTCGTGTCACCAACGAGAGACATGACAGCTGAACGCAAAATCTCCCTGACAAATAGACACCAATAAAACACTGTCACATGCTCAAGCAGAAGCTATAACGACACTGTCATTTGTGCTGTGATATAAAATAAGAACTATAACTACAATTCCTGAGGACTAATATTAAAATGATTATAATCTCCACAATTTGAGTTCTAGGCAATACTAGTGGCTGCATTTCTAAAAACCTTGGTGGTGATTAAAGGCAGGTCAGCCTATTTCCCTCTTTTGATATTTACAAAAACTGGTTTCCACTTAAGTCAACAGTGTGGCATTTTACATGAAGCTTTCAAGGATCCTCTTACTGTGGAAATTTGCAACAACTAAAATGTCCAAAACTCACTTGTCTATTTGATGTAAAATACTTTATGCTGTCCATGAGTGAATTGAGAAATGTGGAGACAGTACAGTGTTTAGTGGGACAGGTTCTGATGAAGCAATTATCTGAAGCATCACTGTTAAGAGCCAAAGTGAGTGTGGGAATTTCAATATCATCAATTTCTCATAAAAAAAATTGCAAAATGATCTGAAACATCATCTGTGTATTACTGAGTAGATCTACAGTGGCAGCACTGATTTAGAGGTGAACATGACAGGCACTGTGTGATGTAAGAGTTTAATTGTAGATCTCCAAAGGACAATGCCATCACAGTCAATTAGCTCCTTCTTGAGAACCATAAAAACAATCAAACAGTGAACCTGAAGACCTGCTCTCTGAGCTCCTGTCTCAGCCCTCTGACCTGCGGGGTTAGCATCCTTGATGCAACAGCCATCGCTAATGGAGGCACATTGTGCACTGACAGCCCCCACTGAATATTTCATCTACCCCCCTTTGAGACTAACAGGGAGTGAGAGACAGTGGAGAAGAGAACGGAGCAGCAGGAGCAGGGCAGCATCAAGGGCTGTGCCCCCCCACCCCTCCCTCTTCCCAGAAATTAGAATGGCTGCTCTGATGTTTCAGATCTCAAACTCCTTTTAATATGAATTCAAACAGCAGCAGCAGCAGCAGCGTCATCATCTCCACTGTCCATTTCTGTGGTTTTCCTCTTATAAACAGAAGGGCCACTCGTTGCACAGTGGTACCTGATGCAGGCAATTAAGCATTCAGCAGTGCTACAGCTGAGTAACAGAACTGCAGTGACAGCTGTGGGGAGTCAGGGCTGCAGAGGGGATGCTGGTCGTGCTTCACATAGACATAAAAGTTCTTTGGATCCCATGGGGTCCAAAGAATTGAAGGGCACCCTGACCTGATATTAGGTCCCACAGAAGAATGAGTAATTCACCACTGACTTTCTCCATCACAGCAGAGAAAAAAAAACTCTCCTCAAATGGCTGTGCCTGAAGGAAAAACTTTGATTATCGAAGTCTGCACTACTCTCAACCATTTCACCACTAATTCCCATATTTGAAATTCGACAGAGACACAATGTCTCGGGCTATATTTGCTGCAGAATAGGTGGAGACACAATTAGACTTAATCCTTTCAGTGTATCTAGTAAAAACCAAACGTGAAACAGTGTAAACCTCAATGATAGAGCCTTGTGAGATAGAGGTACACTACCCTCTACTGTGCAAATAGCTGCATCACAATTACACCTGAAACAGCAGTGCTATTCGCAGCTCCCCCAAGTCAGCCAAAGTAAGCGTAAACCTACAGTATGGGAAAGTTTTCCTTCACAGTTGTAGGCTACAGTTGGTTACTCATGGAAATAGACTCCCCACTGTAGCCTAGTTTTCAGATCACATTAAATCTCGCTTTATTAAGACAGGGGAATGTAGGACCGTAAGTCTTTCCAGCTGTTATGTTAAGTAATGCCAGTGTGTTGTGTGATAAAGGCCTGTAATGTGTGGATAAACCCATTGTATGAAAGAGTTTTATTACTAATATGTTGCTGGAAATTTTGTTTTTGTATTGAATTATGTTTTATTACTGTTATTAATTTATATGTTGGTGTTTTATCGTCTGTGAACTGTCCCACTTTGTCATGTAATAATTTCACTACTACTGACCAGAAAACAACTGCCTGTCTTTAAGTAGTTGGTGCATGTGCTGACGTGCCCTTGCTTCACCTTTGTTTGCACACAGCTGGTCTTAGCAGGACAATTAGGTTAATTAGTATCAGCTGCGCTTGTTCAGTATCGCACCATGTTGAGTCAGTGGTCATCGCGCGCGCAGCCAGGTGACCCAGACGCTGCTAAATGACCAATTAAGGCCTTTCACAAGGCTATAAGAGAAGGTGACAAAAGCGGCGGCCTGTCCATTAGGCTACAGATTTTCAACGTGTGTTCAGATAATGGATGCGAAAATGAACGGTGTGCGGAGCGTGAAACCTGTCGGCGGTCCGCCGCGGCAGCTGTTACACTGCACCCGCGCTGGCTGTGGAGCGACTTTCACTCGGCAGTGGAAACTGAAGGAGCATGAGACGGTGCACACCGGCGCGGTAAAGGAAACATTTCAGCCCGCACTAAAATAATCTAAAAACAAAAAATTTTTTTAAAAAAAGTCTTAAATACACGTTTGGGCGAAGACGTCATTAATTTGTTTTTAAACGTGGCTATGACATTGTTGAACATTCAACCTGTTAAAACTTTACCAAAAATGCCCACAGCGTCCGTGTCGGTGCACAATTGCGGGCTGTGGTCGCAGTTTCTCGAGGAAATCCCACCTGAGCCGCCACATGCTTCAGCACGAAGGACTGAAGCAATTCAAGTAAGTCACCCGTCGCATTGTAACTGTTGCTCCCCTCAGTCACGACCTCATATAACTTTTGCTTTCTTCAGATGCAAATTTGCAACCTGCACGAAGAGTTTCTTCGACTCAAATAAACTGAAGAGACATACGCGTTACTGCCACGGAGACAAAAATAAGTACTTCAAGGTTTGTGTAAATACTCGCATTTAGCCACGAGATGGCGCCAATGAAACGCATTTTAACCACCAGCTTCCTTGCTCTTGATGTTTGTTGAGTAACAAGTTTTTTTTAGTCTCTTGTGTCATTTTAACCCCTTGATAATTTCTTTTCCTCCCACAGTGCAACCAGCCAAACTGCTCCTTGACCTTCAAAAAGCGCAGACTGTTTAAGCTGCACTTAAAGGGACATGAAGTGTCTGCTACATTCAAGTATGTCTGTCTGTAGTACAACAGTGTGTAGCCAACAAGGCATAGTTTCCTGTAGCCTAGTGAAAAATCAGACTGCAGCTCTGTCCTGTGAGTTGAGATCAGTTCAGATGAGTATAACTGTAGCAAAGACATCTAGTAGGAGATAAATGAGTGGTTACAGGCTGAGTGGGTGTGGCCCCAGTGAATTGGTTGAATGTATTTTTACCTGTCTGTCGCTGGTTGGGGTACTTAGGTGTTCAAGGGATGGATGCACTGCCACGTTCGACTCCCATATCAACCGCAAAGCTCATGAGAAGAAGCATGCAGGTTGGTCTATTTCAGTCTAGGTAGGGGTCCTTTCATCTTCCTTCCATGTAAAATTCCTTCATTAAAAGAGGGCTGTGGCTGCATTTGCCTGTAACCTTTTCTTGCATTGAAGATAATTCTTTCAGGACAAATGATACACGGTATGTAGTTCCTCTAAAGAGCCCAGAAGGAGCCAACCTGCAATGGTCTTTATTTCCTGATGCATTCAGTGGCCTTGTTGTTTGGTCGTTGCAGGGTACCGCTGCCCGTATGCTAGCTGCCAGGTGCTTGAACACACCTGGGGGAAACTTCAGAAGCACATGGCCAAGCATCCAGGTTAATATGTTAGGCTCATAGCACAAAAAAGCTGAAATCCATCCAAAATGTTTCTTTCAGGAAAGGATGAATTTTGCCTTTGTTTTCACACATTGTGGCAATAGATGGCTAGTTTAATTATTCTGCCTTCTTAAATTGTGTTCCAGCCACCATTTCATGCCAACTGTGTAAGAAGGTGTTTAAGAAAGCGGATGCCCTGCGGAAGCACAAACGGATCCACGCTTCCCATAAGCCTGTGCTGGTCTGTCCCAGGGAAGACTGCCAGGCCTACTTCTCTACAACCTTTAACCTGCAGCACCACATCCGCAAGGTGCACCTTGATCTCCTCAAATACAAATGCGCCTTCCCTGAATGCCCACGCATGTTTGCTATGCGGGTATGTACATGTTTTCTCTTACTGGTCCTTGTGAGATTTCCTGAAATTTATTTTCTTTGCATTCAAAGACTTCTGTATCCTTAAATTCTGTTGTGATTTACTCCATACAGAACTGTCATTTTAATAGAAATGATATTCCAACTGGGACACTGTTTACACCAGTCATTTCTGACACTGGTTGTAAAGTAACTTAAGTAATTCTAATCATTGAGTAATAACAATATAGATGTAACATGCTTTCTGCACATTGTACTGCAATTTCTAGTTGTTCAAAGTTTCAACCCGTGTATTACATTATGACTGTGCTGTTCCACAGGAGAGTATGAACAGACACCTGCTTCGCCATGACCCAAGCGCCACCACTCTGAAGGTAAATCTCACGTCAGTATCCCACAGTGCAAATGTGGGGTAAAGCCATCACACAGTAGTGGACTAAAGCACCTGATCAGGGGACTATTGATTATAGATTTTTCTTTAAACCTGTGAAAACAAACTCCTTTGTACTTCTGGACAACTGAGGTGAATTGGTCAGCTTGAGAGTTTGCGGTTTACCTGATTTAAGCCAAGCATGTCAAATTTAATTTTTTATTTTTTTTAAAGAATAGATGACTGCACAGCTAGTACAATGGCATGAAACTGCAAAAACATAAATGTCATCCTAAAACTTCCTGTCTAATTTTTATTTTGTTTATCCCAACAGAAACGTCAGCGACCCAAGAAATCTTGGCAGAAGCGTTTGAATGGACACCATCTGCCCCTTGTGGAGGAAAACCTTAATCGCCTCTTCACCCTGCGCATGCGGATCTCCAGACGAGCCAAAGTGGAAACCAACCTCTCAGGCCTCTTCAATGAACGCAAGATCCCGCATTATGTTGACCCAGAAGTCAACCTGCGCAACCTGTTTGGCATCAAACAGTCACGTCCTTTGGAAGAGAAGTCTGAGGTCTCACCTGTAAAAGGTTAAATGAAAGAAATGCGTCCGCAGTTTGACTGTTAATTTTGAACTTTAATTTTTGAGAAATTGGGAATTTGGGTCTCTCTGCTTTAAGTTTTATAATGTAGCTGACATACATTAAAATATTTTAATTTCAAAGGAAGTAATTGAATGTCACTTAAAACATTAAGATGTCAAGCTTTTGAGAATTTGAAAGATTGAATTCTTCTGTGAAGACAACAGGTCTTGAGTGAAATGCTTGTAACATGACATTTGTTGACCCAATAAATGAGTTAAATTTTTGAAAGTGGTATATTAATGCTGTCATCTTTCAATTTGAGTGTTTAGATGAACAGTGCTGAAACTGCTGGAGTTCTGCCCATCAGTAGCAGCTGCTGGAGAGAGAGGTATCATCTCTAGGACAAGATTTTTTTCTTTTGTTCAGCCACATTTAATTGCAATGGAAAGAGCATCTCATTGTTGCCACTCTCAAACAGCTGTTCTCCCCCAGCATCTATCGTTTGTGCTTGCTTTGGCCGCACACATTGGTTGACATTTGCCGAACATGTTGGAGCTCATTAAATATGAACAAAGGACTGAACATGAGTAAGAGCTGAGTCACAGAAAGCATGTCACTTTGGGGGCGGATGAGACTTTGAACACAAGTAATACGAGTCTCAGCTGTCAGATCTTAACTGAAGTTAAGCTGTTCGGAGTTCATGTTTTGGCCTCATGAACCTGTACAGGAGAGGGAATGACTGCATATGTGTAATTTGACCACTCAGTCTACCAGGCTTTGTAGGTTTGCAGTAGAGCTGAAAATATTTTCATTAGAAATTAATCATATACCTATTCTCCATTAATGGTTTATAATAGTGGGTTTCTGCTGTTTGTTGGTGATGAATATGCCATGACTCTGGAACCTCTTTGGTGTTTATCTGTTTATTCTGATTTCATTCATAATAAAATACTGGCATAGACTAAGAAATAACTATACAATAAATTATACCTGATAGGAGAGATGATGTCATGGTAATAAAACTTGCTTGAGATTCCACAAAAGTGAAACAGGAAGATGGACCAAAATACACAAACGGACATAAGGAACAACACAAAATGGATTAAAAAAATAAATGGGTAAATGACACTTTCTTCTTCTTTTGCTTAAATGGACACCCTCCAAGAGGTAAAGGGTCAAAAGGAATTCACAGAGGAAATGAAGGCATTAGTACTGTGCAAAAGTTTTAGGGACTAATAATGCCATCAACTGTTTTAATTTATCAAATAACTTCATAAAAACTGCAGGTCATGGAAACAAAACAGACACAATCACCCTTTGTCTTAAAAACTGATCCAATTCTCCTCTACACTTGTGCACAGATTTTCAAGGAACCGGGCAGGTAGGTTGTTCCAAGTGTCTTGAAATTAAACATTAAGTTTAAAATGATTTTTGATGGAATTAAATCAAGGATACATTAAGAGTTTACATACAGTATGTATAGGATGAGGTATTAATAGAAGCCTTTGTATTATATTTCTAACTTGTGCGAGTGTTGGCTTACAAACCAGAAATGACCTTGTTGAAAATGTAATATACAATATAAAATCAAAAGGGTTTTAGAATTTAAAAGGTTCCTTTTTCTTTCAGCAGTTCTGTTCAACACTTCCTTTTTGTGTTAAACAATTCAATTTTTTTTCTTGGTCCAGTGGAGCAAAGCAGAGTCAATTTCAAAGCTTCAGCTAAGCTCTGTAACAACCTGTCAGTTTGAGTTTGGATGGTGTCTTCACTGCTGTGTTTTTCTTTGCTCTGCCAAAGGTCATCCTCTCAGCTTTACAGCCTCAGGCTCCCTTCCCTCCCTCACTAGCTGCTGCACTACCTCTTTAGATTCCATACATTAACCTATCCTACAACAGCTGACCTGCACGCTCAGTCAAACTGGAGGGACTGTGCACAGCTTCACACAGCTGCAGCTGACAGTGTCTTTTGCATCTGTAATTATCTTACCTGTAGTTCCAAGCCTGTAGTTATTGTATATCTCATTTCTTCGCAAAATGTCATTTACAAAGCGCAGATAAAGCCATCAGACACTGAGTGCCTCTTAAGATCGTGATATTGCTTAGGACATGTAGTGAGGCTTTTTGGCAAAGTCAACACATGCTCAGCTGAGCAGGAATTTAGTCTTGTTTCTATGGAGATGCAACGGAGTAAACAAGTTTCCTTAAATCTTGGTTCTGTTCCTCGTCTTGTCAGGGGGGGGGGGGGGTTTAGAACAAATGGGACCGTGAAGGTCAGGTATTCAGCAGGTGTGGAAGCTATTTGGGTTACTGGATGTTCCTTGTTGACTGCAGAGTTGATCATTGTTTTCCACTGGTGTGCACAAAGTCCCATAAGACCGATGACGACGCCTGGTGTCGCATGGGCCGAGCTTTGGACTGAGACCAGCAGCACTGTCAAAACCGAATCACACACGGTCAACCACACCCTCACAATCGCCCCGTGGCTCTCTGGAAAGGCCACGTCAATTATCCACATAGTGAGCATGACCTCACATGCTGAGCTTGATTTTTGCAGCATGTGCATCACAGAGCAGCACAAAGGAAAAAACTCACAATAATATCATCATAGTGAGGGAGGCTGGGATCCTCATTCAACATACAGTACATGACTGCCTGATTAGCTCTAAGGAAACATTCAATAGGTGATGGATGGATTTTCAATGGTCTTATTAATACTTGGTCTGTAAAATGGCACAGCAAGAATAGTTTTTTCGTGAAAAGAATAGTTTTTCATGGTCCTATGAAAGCAAGTCTTTCATCATTTTATAGTTGCAGGGACCATTTTAGTTTTTATTTCATGGAGATATGAAAAAACTATTTTTACTCTGTGTCATTTTCATGTGTCAGTTTTATACATGTTTACGGCAGCTGTGGCTCAGGAGGTAGAGTCGAGCCCTGGCTCCTCCAGGCCGCATGTTGAAGTGTCCTTGGGTAAGATACTGATCCCCACATTGTTCCTGATGGCTATTCCATCAATGAATGAGTGTGCATATGAGTGAATGTGGCAAGTATTGTAAAGCACTTTGAGTGGTCAATAAGACTAGGAAATCACTTACATCACTGTAGTTTTACTTATTAAATTTTAAATGATCATGTTGCACTGTACAATATACATTTCTACTCAAATGTGAGATGATTATTTGGCTCCTGTATTAAAAACTGTCTTCATGACTCTAACTTAAGTTTGACAAGGCCAAAAGGTCCATCCTGCACTGCAAATCAATATCTGCGATACCAAACATTCAGGGGTTTCAACTGCTGATGGTTCTTTAATTCTCCATCCGGTTCTGGTTTGTCTTTTTAAACAGGAACAGCTTATTTCTAAAATGAAGTTAAAACTTTAATAAAGATGATTTTATGTAAAAAGGTCACAATTTTACTTAACCTGTTGACGCCTCCAAAAAGAAGTAAAAGTCAAGTGATTCATTTTGATGAATCACTTGAGTCTGTGGTGACGGGACACTCGTCTCTGCTGCGTCCACACTTTGTGACTCAGGCTGAAAAAACATGTCTTTTTACATAAATCTTACCATTGTAGCTTTCATTACAGGTGGTTCATATTTCCCTGGCATTGCTTTGCCCACTCATGGGCAAAAATAAATAAATAAATGAATAAAAATACACCAATAAAACATCTGAATCACCTTGCTCCTGCTGTGAATCATTTTCTATCCTGATGACGACAGCTTCTGGATAAAAATTGTTGTGACCTACAGGAACAAGTGCTTACTGAGTGGCTCCACAAGCAACAAAATGATTCAGCTAGGGTCTCAACTACAGTGGATTGCAGCACTTTTTGCTTTTACCATTAACACAACAAATAGTAATACAGGAGCTCTGTCTCTGCAGCGCTTTTACAGATCTGCCAGGAAACAGTGTGGATGTTTGGTGCCTTGTGGTGATCCAACAATATATCTGCAAATGAGTTAAAGTAACTGCATTCACAACTCCCAAGGAATGATGTCACCAAAAACGATGAGCGCAACCCTTTCAAACAAAAAACTAAGAGCACACATTTAATTTGCTCTATTTGCCGGAAAGCAGATCCAAAAACATGATTTATTACAGGATTGCTACAATAAATACAACATTTCTGAAGCTTTTAGGTGCCAATATAACCCTAGTTATATCTGGGTTAATATGTGAGGTACTTTCCAGTGTTGGTGTTCCTTTTTTCTTTTACCACTTTATCAATAAAACCTTGTTCTCTTTGGTGATTTTCTCATTTAAGTGGTAACCCACATTTCTATTTTCCAGTCTCATTCACAGAACATACAGGAGAAAAAACAGAGTCACAGGAGGAGAAAAATATTGCCTCAGAAAATCCCGAAACAAGGAGATAAATTGAAGTAGGTTAACCATACAGTCGTCATGCCCTGATTTAGCCTGCTTCCTCCAGAATAGATGACCCAAAACGTCTTCTCCCCTCCCTTTTCTCCCTTTTCCCATGGCCCTGTTTGAAGAGAGCGACTCATAGCTGTAACACAACTGCATGCCTGCTAAACTGATAGGATTAACAAAATAAACAGGAGATATGGAGCTGTCTGTAAACATGCTCAGCTTCTCTGCCTGCATCAGAGTGTGTTGCGCTGCAGCTGGATGGCAGTTTATACCATGTGAGGAGGTTTAAACAACTCTTGTTCCAAAAATAAACAAGTATTACCAACTAATGGTCACAAGGTTCTCTAAAATGACAAGGTCAGAAAACAATATTTTAATCAGTGGGTGGATTATGTTTCATTTTTATGCCTCTGCGCTGGCGACAGCCAGAGCATGTTGTTTTCTTGTTGTCTGTCCGACCGACTGTCCGTCCCATTCCTGTGGACATGATATCTCAGTAATGCCTTGAGGAAATTTTTTTGAATTCAGCACAAATGTCTTTTTGAACTCAAGGATGAACTGATTAGATTTTGGTGGACAAAGGTCAAAGGTCAAGGTCACGGTGACCTCACGGAACGTGGAGGAGAGTGCTG